GTTGGCACCTCTTCATCGGCGGAAGGCGGCGGAGGGTCGGCGGGAGGCGGCGGAAGTAAAACGGGGGCGGTTCCGCTGGCGGATGCTGGGGGAAGCCGGCGGAAGGCCGGCGGAAGCCGGCGGACTCGAAGCGCTTCAATCGCGCCGCTTCCGGTGGACTTTTCAGTGAGGCCCACCACGGGCCCTGCTGCTGAGACTTGCGGGCGCAGTGCTGAAAAAAAGGAAGTAAAACATTGCCCTCCAAGAGACGCAAAATATTTTTGGGTTCAGGGTTTTCTGGAGTCCGTCATGTGGTTGCCTGCCCTCCGAGTTGGGGGCCAGGGCGTTGGCCCCAGCCGCAGGTGCCAGCCCCTTCCAAGGGGACCGGCTTCTGGTCCACGAGTGGCTTTTTTGGACCGTCCTGGCTTTTGTTACGACTCGAAAGGGTCTGGGCTTCAGGGCGGGCATGTCTAGGAACGGGATACATATTCTGGGTTACTCAGTAAGCGCGGGGGGTACCCCCCCCGACGGGGGTCAGCCTCGCCTCGTCGTCGCGCCGCGACGGGGGTCGGAGCGCCTTCGGCGCGCGGTGGCTGCCCGCGACGGGGGTCGATGTGGGGCTGTCGGCGGGGGTGACGCCCCCGACGCTTATTAATCGGAGGTGGACAGACCTCCTACCCTGACACGTCGATTAAGGAATTGGCCGTTTTCGGTTGCGAGAGGGCGTCGCGGCCGTCATGTCTGCGGGTCCAGGTCCGTCGATTTCGGCCCTGGGTCGTTTCCACTACGGGGAGGTTTACTAAAGGGAGGCTTGTCCACCGCCGAATTAAGAAACTTGGGGTGATCGTTCCGGGGCGCTCTTGAGCGCTCTCGGAGCGTTCCAGAACGCTCCGAGGAAGGCCGCGGGGCCCGCCACGTCCTCCGGAGCAGCCGGCTTTTCGGAGACCGGCCGATCTGTCCCGGTCCGGCTCCCTCCCGATTCTCAGGCGATCGCAAACATGGAATAAGGGGGCGTGGATTAGCGACGGGTCCCGTTTCCAAGGGAAATCGCGGATTTCCGCCGCCGAGGCGACGCTGGCCGCATTTAGGGGAGGGAGCGCCAGATCCATGGATCGCTGATCCATGCTGACGCGCCCCCGAGATGCTGCATCCCTCCTCGAAGTCAAAAACGCATTTTTTTTGTCCGCGACGTGGCGGCTCCCCATGCAGGACCCCCCAGATTTCAAAGTGCGCGCCGGAACTGGGGACTGTCACCAGCCTCGAGCTTGTCCCTATCCCTAAGATTGACACGCCAAAAAGCGATGACAATCTTAGGGATGCGCCCTGAAAAACTAAGGGGATCCCTTAATGAGGCGATGCCAAGCTCAGGGATAGGGATGTGTCCCAGGCGGGTAAGGCTGCAAACACGAACCTCGGACCCCCCGCGGGCCGCGCCTCGCGCGCCGATCGGCATGCGAGCCTTGCGCTTGACTTCGGGGAGGGCTGTGGCTCCGTCTTGGCTCACGGGGGGACAGACCACCCGGACCCGACGGTTGGCGTTTACTAAACGGCCCTGGGCGTTTACCAAGCAGCTCTGCCCTGTCTGATTCCTACCCTGGCACGTCGATTAGTGAATTGGCCGTTTTCGGTTCGCGAGAGGGCGTCGCGGCCGTCATTTTTGCGGGTCCAGGTCCGTCGGTTTCGGTCCCAGACCGTTTTCACTAAGGGGAGGTTTACTAAAGGGAGGTTTGTCCACCGCCGACAAGCCACCCGGACCAGACAGTTGGCGTTTACTAAACGGCCCTGGGCGTTTACTAGACAGCTCTGCCCTGTTTGATTCCTTCTTTGGGTGCGTTGACGAAGCGGCCTCGCGCGTCGGGGTGGCTATGGTCGGGGTGGCTCTTCTGCCCTCCAGCTCTGTTCCTCTGCCCACCGCTCGCTGACCACCTGTCTGACTGTCTTGGATGAACCATTGGCTGGGCCGCGCGGCAGGACAGGAGAGGGAGCGTCGGGGGTACAGTCGGGGCGCCGAAGGAGGAGCCCTCTTCGTCGGGGAGGGGCTCGGTGTTCCTTACTGCCTGTTTTACAGCTTGCCCGTTGGTCTTGGACCCCGAGGTGGGCGGGAGGAAGAGGAGTGGCAGGAGGAGGAGGAGGAGGAAGGGGTGCGGAGGCGGAGGAGGAGGAGAAGCGGGAAGAGGAGCGGGACAGAACAAACATGCGGAGTCAAGCCTTGCGTCTGTCACCACCCACCAAACCACCCCAACCCAACCCGAAGGCCTCAAATTGCCCTCCATTTCCAGTGGGGGGGGGTCGGGGAACGTTGAAAAAACACATGGTATCCGTACCCCCCCCAACCCGAGATTCGGGTCAAATTCGGGTCTTCGGGTTGGGTTGGGGTGGTCTGGTAGGTAGTCAGTTTGATATCGAGGAGGGCCGTGGCTCCGTCCTGGCCCCCGAGGTGGGCACCATGGCATGGAACGGCTACGTGCTGTCCACCGGCAGCCGCGACCACAGCATCCTGCACCGGGACGTGCGCCAGCAGGCGGGCCCCCCGCGGGGGCCGACGCCGGCCTCGCGCCTCCTCGTCCTCCTCCTCGTCCTCCTCCACCTCCCTCTCCTCCTCCTCCTCCCCCTCCTCCTCCTCCTCCTCCTCCTCCTCCTCCTCCTCCTCCTCCTCCTCCTCCTCCTCCTCCTCCTCCTCCCTCCTCCCTCCTCGCCCCCAGTCGCGCCCGCCCCTGCGGGGCACGTGCCTCCACAGGAGGGATCTGAAAAACTAGTCAAGCAATAGTCTGGGGACGATGCTTCGACATGTTCTGGCTAGTTTTGAACATTTTCTCATGCGGTGTCATTTTTGGGATAGTTTTCCACTTGTTGAAGATCTTTTTGACTACTTGTGAGTATTTCGTCATTATGTTTCCTTTCTCCTCCAATATCCGTCTGTAGGAGGGCATGCCCGCCATCGGCAAGGGCTCTCCGGCTGCTCTCCGCCCGAGTCGTTCTCCTCAAGTCGGGCATGCCCCTCTTCAGGAGGAGAATTCGAGAATACTTAAACAATGATCTGGGGACGATTTTTCGACTATTGCTAAGGTCGGGGGTGGACAGAACCCCCAACAGTGACGCGTCGATTAGTGAATTGTCCGTTTTCGGTTCTCGAGAGGGCGCCTCGGCTGTTATTTTCCAGGCTTGCGCCCGCCAGGTTTGGGCCTCAGGTCGTTTTCCCTAAACCACGTTTTGCTAAAGGGCGGTCAGTCCATCCCCAATAAGGCCTTGCGGCCAGTGCCGCCGACCCTGGAGGCCTCGGCCCTCGGCGGAACTGGGAGGGAGGGCGGGCCATCGGCCCCGGGAGGATGTTATTCTAGCCCGGGACCACCCCCCGGGACCGCCCCCTGGGACCACCCCCCCGGGACCCCCGCCCCCCCCCCCCCCTCCCTCCGCGGGGAGGGGATCAAAGGGAAGGAGCTTCCTTCCCCTCGACTCAATGACAGCGTTGCTCAATTTCGCTGTGCATGCGCTGGTGTATTGCGCTTTGGCTGGCGTGCTTGAGGACGAGGGCCGCTACGGACTCAAGGGAAGGAGGGGATGTGATGGCGGCGGCGACGCGACGGCGGCAGCGACGGCGATGGCGACGGAGCAGCCCCTGTCACACGCCGACAGGGTCGGCGGATTTTTGAATGTGTTTGAACGTATCTTTGTTGTATTTTATGGTTCTTCGAAAGTCCGTCTGTAGGAGGACATGCCCGACCTAAACCTCGGCGAGGGCTCTCCGGCTGCTCTCCGCTCGGGTCGTTCGCCGGCTCGGGGGGATGCGTGCAGCTCAGCGGCGTGCCTTCCTTCAAGAGAGGAAAAACACACAGACACAATTAATCCTCGATTCCCCAGAAAATATGGGAAAATATGGGAATTGGGGGGGGAAGACAAAAACCCAGAATATATAGGAAAATATGGGGAATATTTTTATTTGTGTGTATTTATTTGTGTGTCCTGGGGCCCCTTCATTCCTGGATGCTGGTGCCGATGCCGCCGCTCGTCCTGGAGGGCCTTCGCCGCCACGGCCGGATGCTCCACTCGAGAGGGGGGGCCGGAGCGCACCACGGGCGAGGTCTTTGGGAGCAGCGGTGGCGGTACCTTTTTGTTGCCCGCCCAGTCTCCACCACACTCTCCTAGTCGTAGTTTGTTGTCGTTCTCCTCCTCCTCCTCCTCCTCATCATCCTCCTCCTCCTCCTCCTCCTCCTCCTCCATGGTGTTCGTTCGCTCCTCCTCCTCCTCCTCCTCCTCCTCCTCCTCCTCATCCTCAGCCCTTCTGGCACAAGTTTTTGTGCTTGCGGATCCCAGCACTTCAGAAGGGCTGGGGATTCGCGAGCCAGGCTACGCGAGCCGCGCGCGAGGAGCACGGCGGCCCCAGCCGTTGCTCCCTGCCAGCGCGGTGGCCCATGGCGCCGCCTGCCCGTGCTGCGAACGACATGCCTCGCACTTGGTTCTGTCGGTTTTGCACGCACAACAAGACGGGTGAACGATTCTTCAATAAACCAGATCGGGATGTGTGCTCCAAGTGTCGACGATCGAAGGGGACATGCTTTCATTCGTACAAGGAGCCGACTACCCCTTCTTTCCGTGCTGCCTCAAGTGCTGGGGCGAAGCAGGCCCCATGGGCCCAGACACGTGAGCAGCTTCAAGAAACACAGGCTACCATCAAGAGACTGGAGGCCAAGCTCAAGGAGCGTGACCAGCACCAGCGAGCGCAGATCGACCAAGCCATGGTTATCGACGACGATTCGGGTGAAGCACCATTGGGGCCACCAGCACCAGGCTATGACGAGGGCAAGACGAGAACTAGGATTGCAGAACTCGACAAACAACTGGAGGTGGCCACAAAGTTTGAAGGAGCTGAGTGGACTTCACTCAAGCAGGCGCTGCAGCAAGAACGCGAGCATCTGCAGGATGAGGTCAACAAGCGCAAGCCAGCTGCAGCCCGAGTGCTCAATCTCACGAGACGTATTGCGGCGATGGGGTTGCAGATTTCGAAGCAGGAGAAGTTGGTTGAGGATAAGAAAGCTCAGCAGCTCATCCTGCAGCAGGAGATCGAAGAGGCCCAGAAACTCGTCTTGGAGGGCAGAGCCAAGCTCGAGGAGATGCGCGCCCAGGCGGCCGAGGTGGCTAAGGTTTCGGTGCGACCTCCTGAAAGTAAGGATGGAAGCTCTCCTGTCGCAGCGTTCGGCCTGGACGCGACGAAGCTGGGGGAAGGTTTACGACAATTGGGTGCCGGCGAGCGCACGGACAGTCTTGTCAAAAGGGATTGCGGAGGCGCTACCAACCATCATTGCACATGCACAGGTTAAGGTACTGGGGCGTGACGAGGCCCCTGGACAACCTGATCAAGACGCTGCTGCTGCTGCTGCTGCGGTGCAGGGAGCGCAGGAGCAAGCTGATGAAGCCAAACAGCTCCAGGAGCAGCGTGAGAAGTCATTCGAAGAGGCGAGTAATGAAGCACTGGGAGCCATGCTTGAGGCTGCTGGTGCACCCAAGCCTGAGGAACATGAGGATCTTCGAGAGGCTGCGCGCAAGCTCCTGCTGTTCCGTGCGCAGACAGAGTTCGGAGGCTTCACGGCGTACTAATGTATGGCGGATGGTCATATATATCTATATATACGATGCTATGGATGATCACAATGATGTACTCCGCGGATCAGGCCAGAGGTGGCCACATGAGTTTGACTTCGACCTCGGCATTGACGGCGACTCAGATGGTGTGTACTATGCAACAGGGCCGTCCACCCTGTGGATCGCCTTTCGGCGTCGACCCCTCTCGAGCTGAGAAGGTGGAGACTGTTTCCCAAGTGACCTCCCACGTTTGTAGGGGAGGCGCTCCCCTGCCGCGTGGGGATGGCCTGGGGAGTGGAATCGCTGTGGCCCGGGGGGCGCGAGTGTGCGCCCCATGTACTTCGGCATCGCCCGCGATGGGATCGACTGCTGGGACTTCGGCACGTGCGGTCTTTGAGTGGGATGGAGATTTATCGCGCAAGGATTCTTCTGAGAAGCATGGCAGTAATAATGGAGTCGATGGGCAGCTTGTCGCGACCAACGCAGATGCGGCAGGCCCTCTCTTGGCATATGTTGAGCAAGCCAGTGACGCAGCACTGCTGCTCCAGGAGCACAAGTCGGACAGGGCCATGCTGCCCAAGCTCCAGTCTCAGTTGAAGGGCATAGGTACCATGGGTTTTTTTGGCAGCGGACCGCACTGAAGCAGATGGACTTAGTGCAGGAGTTGCTGTGTTGGTCCCCACATACATGATGATCACTGCTCCACCTCTCTTGTCTTCGGGCGAGCGGTTTCCGGCAAGGGCCGTCGCAGCCCAAGTGAATTGGGGATGTCGAGGCGGGGTGGTCTTGGTTTCTCTGTATTTGAAGGACTCCGTCGGCCTTGATACGTTCAACATGTCTGTGCTCTACCAGTTGGCCACGTACTTAGGGAGGCTCAACCCTCTTGATCGACCCTGGGTGATGGGTGGTGATTGGAATGTTGAGTCATACCAGTTACGAGGAGAAGCTTGGCTAGAGCAGATCAGAGCCATGTTCCTTGTGCCAGTCGGGGCCACCTGCCGAGTGAATCATGGGGCTGAAGGCAGGGCGTGTGATTACTTCATCTTGTCGGAGGTACTTGCGAGCAGAGTTGGGGCCCCTCAGATCATGGATCAAGACATGCTGCCCGCTCACACGCCAGTGGTAATACCTTTCTCAGGCACGGACCAGGACACCTGGCTGCGTCTGCCAGTTGAACCTCGCCAGTTGCCGAAAGGACCACGTATTGGCTGCTCCAGATATCCCAGTGAGTGGACACCCATCATGACCGCGATCGAAGATGCAGTGGGCCAGCCCGCATGACAGCATGCTTGGGACATGGTGTTGGTGGGAGTGGAGAGGGAGCTGTGTGATCGCTATGACAAGGTGGGTGACCATGGTGCAGCTTATATTGGACGTGGTGGGCCAACCAGAACCAAGTTCGTGCTTGCTAAGTGGCAGCCTCAACGTCGAAATCAGCAGCGTGGGTCCAAGCTTCGTGCATGGCTACAGGCGGGGAGATGGGCTAAACACTTGATGAAGGTGCGAGAATTCTAGTGCAAAATGATATCCGGATTTCTACGTGAAGGCCGTTGTGCAGGAGCGTTCAACCCCCCTGACTGCACCAACCTGCACCCAGGGCAGGTGACGGTTCAAGCACCTGCAGAAGCTGGTTGGGCGGCGGTCCATACTGGCAAATCTCGCCCCCACTCGAGCTCGACAAAGGCTCTTAAAACATGTAGTCAGGACGCCAAGGTCGGACAAGGCCCCGGCATATGCAGTGGGCACAAGAACCACATCGTGAACCACGAGATGTTCACCCCCGTTCAGGGACTGGCGAGATCGCTGACGGACGCAACCAACGTCCTGGAAAAAAGGTGCACACGGCATACGCGACGCTGGGGCACCTTGATGATTGGACAGTAATTTCTCATGATTCTTATGCACTCTGAGTTTTTGCCTATTGCATTTAAGATTGTTGGGCAG